ACCCCACCACGTGTAACACTTCACACGCTGTTACATCACTCACCTACACAGACAAAGATCCTCCACCCCACCACGTGTAACACTTCACACGCTGTTACATCACTCACCTACACAGACAAAGATCCACCCCACGTGTAACACTTCACACGCTGTTACATCACTCACCTACACAGACACAAAGACCCCTCCCACCACGTGTAACACTTCACACGCTGTTACATCACTCACCTACACAGACACAGACACAAAGATCCCTCCACCCCACGTGTAACACTTCACACGCTGTTACATCACTCACCTACACAGACACAGACACAAAGATCCACCACGTGTAAAGACCCCTCCACTCACTCACTCACCCACCCACTCACCCACTCAATCACCCACCCACTCAATCACTCACTCACCCACCCACCCACTCACCCACCCACCCACTCACCCACCCACTCACCCACCCACCCACTCACCCACCCACCCACTCACCCACCCACCCACTCACCCACCCACCCACTCACCCACCCACCCACTCACCCACCCATTCACCAACCCACTCACCCACCCACTCACTCACCCATCCACTAACCCACTCACCCATCCACTAACCCACCCACCCACTCACCCACTCACCCACCCACTCACCCACCCACCCACTCACTCACTCACTCACCCACCCACCCACTCACCCACTCACCCACCCACTCACCCACCCACTCACTCACCCACCCACTCACCCACCCACTCACCCACCCAACCACTCACCCACCCACCCACCCACTCACTCACTCACTCACCCACCCGCCCACTTACTCACCCACCCACCCATTCACCAACCCACTCACCCACCCACTCACCCACCCACTCACTCACCCACCAGCCCACTTACTCACCCACTCACCCACCCATTCACCAACCCACTCACCCACCCACTCACCCACCCACTCACTCACCCCCTCACCCACTAACCCACCCACCCACTAACCCACCCAACCACCCACTCACTCACCCACTCACCCACCCATCCACCCACCCACCCACTCACTCACTCACCCACCCACCCACCCACTCACTCACTCACCCACCCACTCACCCACCCACTCACTCACTCACCAACTCACCCACCCACCCACTCACCCACCCACTCACCCACCCACCCACCCACTCACCCACTCACCCACTCACTCACTCACTCACCCACCCACCCACCCACTCACCCACTCACCCACCCACTCACCCACCCACTCACCCACCCACTCACCCACCCACTCACTCACTCACTCCCTCACCCACTCACCCACTCACCCACCCACTCACCCACTCACCCACCCACTCACTCACCCACCCACCGACTCACTCACCCACTCACCCACCCACCCACCCACTCACCCACTCACCCACCCACTCACCCACTCACCCACCCACTCACCCACTCACCCACCCACTCACCCACTCACCCACCCACCCACTCACCCACCCACTCACTCACCCCCTCACCCACCCACTCACCCACCCACCCACTCACTCACCAACTCACCCACCCAACCACCCACTCACTCACCCACTCACCCACCCACCCACCCACTCACTCACTCACCCACCCACTCACTCACCCACCCACTCACCCACCCACCCACTCACTCACCAACTCACCCACCCACCCACTCACCCACCCACTCACCCACCCACCCACCCACTCACCCACCCACCCACTCACTCACCCACTCACCCACTCACCCACCCACTCACCCACTCACCCACCCACTCACCCACCCACCCACTCACCCACCCACCCACCCACTCACTCACTCACCCACCCACTCACTCACCCACCCACTCCCTCACCCACCCACTCACCCACTCACCCACCCACTCACCCACTCACCCACTCACTCACCCACCCACCCACTCACCCACTCACCCACCCACCCACCCACTCACCCACCCACTCACCCACTCACCCACTCACTCACCCACCCACTCACTCACTCACCCACCCACTCACCCACTCACTCACTCACTCACCCACCCACTCACCCACCCACCCACTCACCCACTCACCCACCCACTCACCCACCCACCCACCCACTCACCCACCCACCCACTCACCCACCCACCCACTCACTCACCCACCCACCCACTCACTCACCCACCCACTCACCCACCCACCCACTCACTCACTCACTCACCCACCCACCCACTCACTCACCCAATCACCCACCCACTCACCCACCCACCCACTCACCCACCCACCCACCCACTCACCCACCCACTCACTCACCCACCCACCCACCCACTCACTCACCCACCCACTCACTCACTCACCCACCCACCCACTCACCCACCCACCCACTCACTCACCCATTCACCCACCCACTCACCCACCCACCCACCCACCCACTCACTCACTCACCCACCCACTCACCCACTCACCCACCCACCCACCCACTCACCCACTCACTCACTCACTCACCCACTCACCTACCCACCCACTCACTCACCCACTCACCCACCCACCCACTCACCCACCCACCCACTCACCCACCCACCCACCCACTCACCCACCCACCCACTCACCCACCCACCCACTCACCCACCCACCCACTCACTCACCCACTCACTCACTCACTCACCCACCCACTCACTCACCCACCCACTCATCCACCCACCCACTCACCCACTCACCCACCCATCCACTCACTCACTCACCCACTCACTCACTCACCCACCCACTCACTCACCCACCCACTCACTCACCCACCCACCCACTCACTCACTCACCCACCCACTCACTCACCCACCCACTCACTCACCCACCCACTCATCCACCCACCCACCCACTCACCCACCCACCCACTCACCCACCCACCCACCCACTCACCCACCCACCCACTCACCCACCCACCCACTCACTCACTCACTCACCCACCCACTCACCCACCCACCCACTCACTCACCCACCCACCCACCCACTCACTCACCCACCCACTCACCCACCCACCCACTCACTCACCCACCCACTCATCCACCCACCCACTCACCCACTCACCCACCCATCCACTCACTTACTCACTCACCCACTCACTCACTCACTCACCCACCCACCCACCCACTCACTCACCCACCCACTCACTCACCCACCCACTCACTCACCCACCTACTCACCCACCCACCCACTCACTCACCCACCCACTCATCCACCCACCCACTCACCCACTCACCCACCCATCCACTCACTCACTCACTCACCCACTCACCCACTCACTCACCCATCCACCCACTCACTCACCCACCCACCCACCCACCCACTCACCCACCCACCCACTCACCCACCCACTCACCCACCCACTCACCCACCCACCGAACTTGGAGTAGAAGTAACACTCTGGCATCTTGGTCACTCACCCACTCACCCACCCACCCACCCACTCACCCACTCACCCACTCACCCACTCACCCACTCACCCACCCACCCACTCACCCACTCACCCACCCACCCACTCACTCACCCACCCACTCACCCACCCACCCACTCACCCACCCACTCACCCACCCACCGAACTTGGAGTAGAAATAACACTCTGGCATCTTGGTCATGTCGAACTCGTGCAGGAATTCGCACTGGTCTCCCTTCTTGCAGAGTCCCCGAAGCCAATGCTTGCAAACCACGGTCTTCTCTCCACTCACGTGGCGGAAGGGACACATGGGGCCTGCAGGGTCAGGGGCAGCAGAGAGAGGCAGGGCAGGGAGAGTCAGGGGCAGCAGAGAGAGTCAGGGCAGGGAGAGTCAGGGACAGCAGAGAGAGTCAGGGCAGAGTCAGGGGCAGCAGAGAGTCAGGGCAGGGGCAGGATCAGCAGAGAGTCAGAGGCAGGGCAGGGAGAGTCAGGGGCAGCAGAGAGAGTCAGGGCAGGGAGAGTCAGGGACAGCAGAGAGAGGCAGGGCAGGGAGAGTCAGGGACAGCAGAGAGAGTCAGGGGCAGGATCAGCAGAGAGTCAGGGCAGAGTCAGGGCAGGATCAGCAGAGAGTCAGGGCAGGAGAGTCAGGGGCAGGGTCAGGGGCAGCAGAGAGTCGGGGCAGGGTCAGGGGCAGGGTCAGGGTCAGGGGCAGCAGAGAGTCAGGGCAGGGTCAGGGGCAGCAGAGAGTCAGGGCAGAGTCAGGGGCAGCAGCGGAGAGTCAGGGCAGCGGAGAGTCTGGGACCTACCGAGTTCACCCAGAACCACACAGAGAGACCCCAGGCCCTCCTCTAACTACCCACGGTGGTCACGGAGTCCTTGATCGGCAAAGCGGAGAGTCTGGGACCCTACCGAGTTCACCCAGAACGACCCACACAGAGACCCCAGGCCCTCCTCTAACTACCCACGGTGATCACGGAGTCCTTGATCATCAGCAAAGCAGAGAGTCTGGGACCTACCGACTTCACCCAGAACCACACAGAGACCCCCCAGGACCTCCTCTAACTACCCACGGTGGTCACGGAGTCCTTGATCAGCAAAGCGGAGAGTCTGGGACCTACCGAGTTCACCCAGAACCACACAGAGAGACCCCAGGACCTCCTCTAACTACCCACGGTGGTCACGAAGTCCTTGATCAGCAAAGCGGAGAGTCTGGGACCTACCGACTTCACCCAGAACCACACAGAGACCCCAGGACCTCCTCTAACTACCCACGGTGGTCACGGCGGCCTTGATCAGCAAAGCGGAGAGTCTGGGACCTACCGACTTCACCCAGAACCACACAGAGACCCCAGGCCCTCCTCTAACTACCCACGGTGGTCATGGAGTCCTTGATCAGCAAAGAGGAGAGTCTGGGACCTACCGAGTTCACCCAGAACCACACAGAGACCCCAGGACCTCTAACTACCCACGGTGGTCACGGAGTCCTTGATCGGCAAAGCGGAGAGTCTGGGACCTACCGAGTTCACCCAGAACCACACAGAGAGACCCCAGGACCTCTAACTACCCACGGTGGTCACGGAGTCCTTGATCAGCAAAGCGGAGAGTCTGGGACCTACCGAGTTCACCCAGAACCACACAGAGACCCCCCAGGACCTCCTCTAACTACCCACGGTGGTCACGAAGTCCTTGATCAGCAAAGCGGAGAGTCTGGGACCTACCGAGTTCACCCAGAACCACACAGAGACCCCCCAGGACCTCCTCTAACTACCCACGGTGGTCACGGAGTCCTTGATCAGCAAAGCGGAGAGTCTGGGACCTACCGAGTTCACCCAGAACCACACAGAGAGACCCCAGGACCTCCTCTAACTACCCACGGTGGTCACGGAGTCCTTGATCGGCAAAGCGGAGAGTCTGGGACCCTACCGAGTTCACCCAGAACGACCCACACAGAGACCCCAGGCCCTCCTCTAACTACCCACGGTGGTCACGGAGTCCTTGATCATCGGCAAGGCGGAGAGTCTGGGACCTACCGAGTTCACCCAGAACCACACAGAGACCCCAGGACCTCTAACTACCCACGGTGATCACGGCGTCCTTGATCGGCAAAGCGGAGAGTCTGGGACCTACCGAGCTCACCCAGAACGATCCCCACAGAGACCCCAGGCCCTCCTCTAACTACTACCGACGGTGGTCACGGAGTCCTTGATCGGCAAAGCGGAGAGTCTGGGACCTACCGAGTTCACCCAGAACGACCCACACACACAGAGAGACCCCAGGCCCTCCTCTAACTACCCACGGTGGTCACGAAGTCCTTGATCGGCAAAGCGGAGACTCTGGGACCTACCGAGCTCACCCAGAACCACACAGAGACCCCAGGACCTCCTCTAACTACCACCGACGGTGGTCACGGAGTCCTTGATCAGCAAAGCGGAGAGTCTGGGACCTACCGAGTTCACCCAGAACCACACAGAGACCCCAGGCCCTCCTCTAACTACCCACGGTGGTCACGGAGTCCTTGATCAGCAAAGCGGAGAGTCTGGGACCTACCGAGTTCACCCAGAACGACCCACACAGAGACCCCAGGCCCTCCTCTAACTACCCACGGTGGTCACGAAGTCCTTGATCAGCAAAGCGGAGAGTCTGGGACCTACCGAGTTCACCCAGAACCACACAGAGAGACCCCAGGACCTCTAACTACCCACGGTGGTCACGGAGTCCTTGATCAGCAAAGCGGAGAGTCTGGGACCTACCGAGTTCACCCAGAACCACACAGAGACCCCAGGCCCTCCTCTAACTACCCACGGTGGTCACGGAGTCCTTGATCGGCAAAGCGGAGAGTCTGGGACCTATCGAGTTCACCCAGAACCACACAGAGAGACCCCAGGACCTCCTCTAACTACCCACGGTGGTCACGGAGTCCTTGATCAGCAAAGCGGAGAGTCTGGGACCTACCGAGTTCACCCAGAACCACACAGAGACCCCAGGCCCTCCTCTAACTACCCACGGTGGTGACGGAGTCCTTGATCGGCAAAGCGGAGAGTCTGGGACCTACCAAGCTCACCCAGAACCACACAGAGAGACCCCAGGCCCTCCTCTAACTACCCACGGTGATCACGGAGTCCTTGATCATCGGCAAGGCGGAGAGTCTGGGACCTACCGAGTTCACCCAGAACCACACAGAGACCCCAGGACCTCCTCTAACTACTACCCACGGTGGTCACGAAGTCCTTGATCAGCAAAGAGGAGAGTCTGGGACCTACCGAGCTCACCCAGAACCACACAGAGAGACCCCAGGACCTCTAACTACCCACGGTGGTCACGGCGGCCTTGATCATCAGCAAAGCGGAGAGTCTGGGACCTACCGAGTTCACCCAGAACCACACAGAGAGACCCCAGGACCTCCTCTAACTACCCACGGTGGTCACGGAGTCCTTGATCAGCAAAGCGGAGAGTCTGGGACCCTACCGAGTTCACCCAGAACGACCCACACAGAGACCCCAGGCCCTCCTCTAACTACCCACGGTGGTCACGAAGTCCTTGATCAGCAAAGCGGAGAGTCTGGGACCTACCGAGTTCACCCAGAACCACACAGAGACCCCAGGCCCTCCTCTAACTACTACCCACGGTGGTCACGAAGTCCTTGATCGGCAAAGCGGAGACTCTGGGACCTACCGAGCTCACCCAGAACCACACAGAGAGACCCCAGGACCTCCTCTAACTACCCACGGTGGTCACGGAGTCCTTGATCGGCAAAGTGGAGAGTCTGGGACCTACCGAGTTCACCCAGAACCACACAGAGACCCCAGGACCTCCTCTAACTACTACCGACGGTGGTCACGGAGTCCTTGATCGGCAAAGCAGAGAGTCTGGGACCTACCGAGTTCACCCAGAACCACACAGAGAGACCCCAGGACCTCTAACTACCCACGGTGGTCACGGAGTCCTTGATCAGCAAAGCGGAGAGTCTGGGACCTACCGAGTTCACCCAGAACCACCCCCACACACAGAGAGACCCCAGGCCCTCCTCTAACTACCCACGGTGGTCACGAAGTCCTTGATCAGCAAAGCGGAGAGTCTGGGACCTACCGAGTTCACCCAGAACCACACAGAGAGACCCCAGGACCTCTAACTACCCACGGTGGTCACGGAGTCCTTGATCAGCAAAGCGGAGAGTCTGGGACCTACCGAGTTCACCCAGAACCACCCCCACACACAGAGAGACCCCAGGCCCTCCTCTAACTACTACCCACGTTGGTCACGGCCTCAATGAAAGCCGTAAATGCCAGGTCCTGTTGGAATCCCCGACGCGTCTGACGGACGGCCGCCATTTTCAGCCCCCACCCCCCCGCGCCCCCCCAGCCCCCCAGGGGACCCCCCCCCCCCGGCCCCCCGTCACGCGGTTGTCACGGCAACCGAGGGTCAAAGGGCGGGGGGAGGGGAGGGTGGAATCGGATTAATTCGACGTGAGGCCTCCATCCGCGGGATTGTGGCGATGAATTGTCAAGGCCCAGCGGGCGAATCTCGTCGGTGACGGTGACGGTGACAGTGGTGGTGGTGACGGTGGTAGTGGCGGTGGTGGTGACGGTGGTGGTGGTGACGGTGGTGGTGGTGGTGACGGTGGTGGTGGTGGTGGTGGTGACGGTGGTGGTGGTGGTGGTGACGGTGGTGGTGGTGGTGATGGTGGTGGTTGTTGTTGTTGTGGTTGTTGTGGTTGTTGTTGTGGTTGTTATTGTTGTGGTTGTGGTTGTTGTTGTGGTTGTTGTGGTTGTTGTTGTGGTTGTTGTTGTGGTTGTTGTTGTGGATGTTGTTGTGGTTGTTGTTGTTGTTGTGGTTGTTGTTGTGGTTGTTGTAGTTGTTGTTGTGGTTGTTGTTGTGGTTGTTGTTGTGGTTGATGTTGTTGTGGTTGTTGTTGTAGTTGTTGTTGTGGTTGTTGTTGTGGTTGTTGTTGTTGTGGTTGTTGTTGTGGTTGTTGTGGTTGTTGTTGTGGTTGTTGTGGTTGTTGTTGTGGTTGTAGTTGTGGTTGTTGTGGTTGTTGTTGTGGTTGTTGTTGTGGTTGTTGTGGTTGTTGTTGTTGTTGTTGTCGTCAACGCCCACGGACGCTCACCTTTGCCGCACTGCCCCTTGAGAAAGAAGTGGCAGACGGCCGCTCCGGATTCTACGGAGGGGGAGACACGGGGAGAGAGACACGGGGAGAGAGACACGGGGAGAGAGACACGGGGAGAGAGACGCAGAGACACGGGAAGAGAGACACGGGGAGAGAGAGACACGGGGAGAGAGAGACACGGGGAGAGAGACACGGGGAGAGAGAGACACGGGGAGAGAGACACGGGGAGAGAGACACGGGGTGAGAGACACAGAGACACGGGGAGAGAGACACAGAGACACGGGGGGAGAGAGACGCAGAGAGAGAGACACGGAGAGAGAGACACAGAGACACGGGGAGAGAGACACAGAGAGAGAGAGAGACACGGAGAGAGACACGGGGAGAGAGACACGGGGAGAGAGACACGGGGAGAGAGAGACACGGGGAGAGAGAGACACGGGGAGAGAGAGACACGGGGAGAGAGACACGGGGAGAGAGAGACACGGGGAGAGAGACACAGAGACACGGGGGGAGAGAGACGCAGAGAGAGAGACACGGAGAGAGAGACACAGAGACACGGGGAGAGAGACACAGAGAGAGAGAGAGACACGGAGAGAGACACGGGGAGAGAGACACGGGGAGAGAGACACGGGGAGAGAGAGACACGGGGAGAGAGAGACACGGGGAGAGAGAGACACGGGGAGAGAGACACGGGGAGAGAGAGACACGGGGAGAGAGAGACACGGGGAGAGAGAGACGGGGAGAGAGACACGGGGAGAGAGAGACACGGGGAGAGAGAGACGGGGAGAGAGAGACACGGGGAGAGAGAGACACGGGGAGAGAGAGACACGGGGAGAGAGAGATACGGGGAGAGAGAGACACAGGGAGAGAGAGACACGGGGAGAGAGACACGGGGAGAGAGAGACACGGGGAGAGAGACACGGGGAGAGAGAGACACGGGGAGAGAGACACGGGGAGAGAGAGACACGGGGAGAGAGACACGGGGAGAGAGACACGGGGAGAGAGAGACACGGGGAGAGAGACACGGGGAGAGAGAGACACGGGGAGAGAGAGACATGGGGAGAGAGACACGGGGAGAGAGACAGAGAGAGAGACACGGGGAGAGAGACACGGGAGAGAGAGACACGGGGAGAGAGCCACGGGGAGAGAGAGACACGGGGAGAGAGACACGGGGAGAGAGACACGGGGAGAGAGAGACACGGGGAGAGAGAGACACGGGGAGAGAGACACGGGGAGAGAGACACGGGGAGAGAGACACGGGGAGAGAGACACGGGGAGAGAGACACGGGGAGAGAGACACAGAGACACGGGGAGAGAGACACGGGGAGAGAGACACAGAGACACGGGGAGAGAGACACGGGGAGACAGACACGGGGAGAGAGACACGGGGAGAGAGACACGGGGAGAGAGAGACACGGGGAGAGAGAGACACGGGGAGAGAGAGACACGGGGAGAGAGAGAAACACGGGGAGAGAGAGACACGGGGAGAGAGACACGGGGAGAGAGAGACACGGGGAGAGAGACACGGGGAGAGAGAGACACGGGGAGAGAGACACGGGGAGAGAGAGACACGGGGAGAGAGACACGGGGAGAGAGACACGGGGAGAGAGACACGGGGAGAGAGAGACACGGGGAGAGAGAGACACGGGGAGAGAGAGATACGGGGAGAGAGAGACACAGGGAGAGAGAGACACGGGGAGAGAGACACGGGGAGAGAGAGACACGGGGAGAGAGACACGGGGAGAGAGAGACACGGGGAGAGAGACACGGGGAGAGAGAGACACGGGGAGAGAGACACGGGGAGAGAGACACGGGGAGAGAGAGACACGGGGAGAGAGACACGGGGAGAGAGAGACACGGGGAGAGAGAGACATGGGGAGAGAGACACGGGGAGAGAGACAGAGAGAGAGACACGGGGAGAGAGACACGGGGAGAGAGAGACACGGGGAGAGAGCCACGGGGAGAGAGAGACACGGGGAGAGAGACACGGGGAGAGAGACACGGGGAGAGAGAGACACGGGGAGAGAGAGACACGGGGAGAGAGAGACACGGGGAGAGAGACACGGGGAGAGAGACACGGGGAGAGAGACACGGGGAGAGAGACACGGGGAGAGAGACACAGAGACACGGGGAGAGAGACACGGGGAGAGAGACACAGAGACACGGGGAGAGAGACACGGGGAGAGAGACACGGGGAGAGAGACACGGGGAGAGAGACACGGGGAGAGAGAGACACGGGGAGAGAGAGACACGGGGAGAGAGAGACACGGGGAGAGAGAGAAACACGGGGAGAGAGAGACACGGGGAGAGAGACACGGGGAGAGAGACACGGGGAGAGAGACACGGGGTGAGAGAGACACGGGGAGAGAGAGACACGGGGAGAGAGAGAGACACGGGGAGAGAGAGACACGGGGAGAGAGACACGGGGAGAGAGACACGGGGAGAGAGACACGGGGTGAGAGACACGGGGAGAGAGACACGGGGAGAGAGACACGGGGAGAGAGACACGGGGAGAGAGAGACACAGGGAGAGAGACACGGGGAGAGAGACACGGGTAGAGAGACACGGGTAGAGAGACACGGGGAGAGAGACACGGGGAGAGAGACACGGGGAGAGAGACACGGGTAGAGAGACACGGGGAGAGAGACACGGGGAGAGAGACACGGGGAGAGAGACACGGGGAGAGAGACACGGGGAGAGAGACACGGGGAGAGAGACACGGGGAGAGAGACACGGGGAGAGAGAGAGAGACACGGGGAGAGAGACACGGGGAGAGAGACACGGGGAGAGAGACACGGGGAGAGAGACACGGGGAGAGAGACACGGGGAGAGAGACACGGGGAGAGAGACACGGGGAGAGAGAGAGAGACACGGGGAGAGAGACACGGGGAGAGAGAGAGAGACACGGGGAGAGAGACACGGGGAGAGAGACACAGAGACACGGGGAGAGAGACACGGGGAGAGAGAGAGACACGGGGAGAGAGACACGGGGAGAGAGAGACACGGGGAGAGAGACACGGGGAGAGAGACACGGGGAGAGAGAGACACGGGGAGAGAGACACGGGGAGAGAGACACGGGGAGAGAGAGACACGGGGAGAGAGACACGGGGAGAGAGAGACACGGGGAGAGAGACACGGGGAGAGAGAGACACGGGGAGAGAGAGACACGGGGAGAGAGAGACACGGGGAGAGAGAGACACGGGGAGAGAGACACGGGGAGAGAGACACGGGGAGAGAGACACGGGGAGAGAGACACGGGGAGAGAGAGAGACACGGGGAGAGAGACACGGGGAGAGAGAGACACGGGGAGAGAGACACGGGGAGAGAGACACGGGGAGAGAGAGACACGGGGAGAGAGACACGGGGAGAGAGACACGGGGAGAGAGAGACACGGGGAGAGAGACACGGGGAGAGAGACATGGGGAGAGAGACATGGGGAGAGAGACACGGGGAGAGAGACACGGGGAGAGAGAGACACGGGGAGAGAGACACGGGGAGAGAGACACGGGGAGAGAGAGACACGGGGAGAGAGAGACACGGGGAGAGAGACACGGGGAGAGAGACATGGGGAGAGAGAGACACGGGGAGAGAGACACGGGGAGAGAGACACGGGGAGAGAGACACGGGGAGAGAGACACGGGGAGAGAGACACGGGGAGAGAGAGACATGGGGAGAGAGAGACACGGGGAGAGAGACACGAGGAGGGAGAGAGAGACACGGGGAGAGAGAGACACGGGGAGAGAGACACGGGGAGAGAGACACGGGGATAGAGAGACACGGGGAGAGAGACACGGGGAGAGAGACACGGGGAGAGAGACACGGGGAGAGAGACACGGGGAGAGAGAGACACGGGGAGAGAGACACGGGGAGAGAGAGACACGGGGAGAGAGAGACACGGGGAGAGAGACACGGGGAGAGAGACACGAGGAGAGAGACACGGGGAGAGAGACACGGGGAGAGAGACACGGGGAGAGAGACACGAGGAGAGAGACACGGGGAGAGAGACACGGGGAGAGAGAGACACGGGGAGAGAGACACGGGGAGAGAGAGACACGGGGAGAGAGAGACACGGGGAGAGAGACACGAGGAGAGAGACACGGGGAGAGAGACACGGGGAGAGAGACACGGGGAGAGAGACACGGGGAGAGAGAGACGCGGGGAGAGAGAGACGCGGGGAGAGAGAGACGCGGGGAGAGAGAGACACGGGGAGAGAGAGACACGGGGAGAGAGACACGGGGAGAGAGACACGAGGAGGGAGACACGGTGTGAGTGGTGAGTGAGTGGTGAGTAAGTGGTGAGTCAGTGAGTGGTGAGTGAGTAGTGAGTCGTGAGTAAGTAGTAATTGGTGAGTAATTGGTGATCAATTGGTGAGTGAGTGGTGAGTAATTGGTAATTGATGAGTGGTGAGTAATTGATGAGTGGTGAGTGAGTGAGTAATTGGTGAGTAAGTGGTGAGTGGTGAGTGAGTGGTGAGTAGTAATTGGTGAGTGGTGAGTGAGTGAGTAGTAATTGGTGAGTGAGTGGTGAGTAGTAATTGGTGAGTGAGTGGTGAGTAGTAATTGGTGAGTGGTAATTGGTGAGTGGTGAGTGAGTGGTGAGTAATTGGTGAGTAAGTGGTGAGTGAGTGGTGAGTAGTAATTGGTGAGTAGTGAGTAGTAATTGGTGAGTGGTGAGTAAGTGGTGAGTGGTAATTGGTGAGTAATTGGTGAGTAATTGGTGAGTGGTAATTGATGAGTGGTGAGTAGTAATTGGTGAGTAATTGGTGAGTGGTAAGTGGTGAGTAGTAATTGGTGAGTAGTAAGTGGTGAGTAATTGGTGAGTGGTGAGTAGTAATTGGTGAGTAATTGGTGAGTAAGTGGTGAGTAGTAATTGGTGAGTAATTGGTGAGTAGTAATTGGTGAGTGGTGAGTGAGTGGTGAGTAGTGATTGGTGAGTAGTAATTGGTGAGTGAGTGGTGAGTGGTGAGTAGTAATTGGTGAGTAGTAATTGGTGAGTGGTGAGTAGTAAGTGGTGAGTAGTAATTGGTGAGTGGTGAGTAGTAATTGGTGAGTAGTAATTGGTGAGTGGTGAGTAAGTGGTGAGTAGTAATTGGTGAGTAGTAATTGGTGAGTGGTGAGTAAGTGGTGAGTAGTAATTGGTGAGTAATTGATGAGTGGTGAGTTGTAATTGGTGAGTAATTGGTGAGTGGTAAGTGGTGAGTAGTAATTGGTGAGTAGTAAGTGGTGAGTAATTGGTGAGTGGTGAGTAGTAATTGGTGAGTAATTGGTGAGTAAGTGGTGAGTAGTAATTGGTGAGTAATTGGTGAGGAGTAATTGGTGCGTGGTGAGTGAGTGGTGAGTAGTGATTGGTGAGTAGTAATTGGTGAGTGGTGAGTGAGTGGTGAGTAGTAATTGGTGAGTGGTGAGTAGTAAGTGGTGAGTAGTAATTGGTGAGTAGTAATTGGTGAGTGGTAAGTGGTGAGTAGTAATTGGTGAGTGGTGAGTAGTAATTGGTGAGTAGTAATTGGTGAGTAGTAATTGGTGAGTGGTGAGTAGTAATTGGTGAGTAGTAATTGGTGAGTGGTGAGTAAGTGGTGAGTAGTAATTGGTGAGTGGTGAGTAGTAATTGGTGAGTAGTAATTGGTGAGTAGTAATTGGTGAGTGGTGAGTAGTAATTGGTGAGTAGTAATTGGTGAGTAGTAATTGGTGAGTGGTGAGTGGTAAGTGGTGAGTAGTAATTGGTGAGTAGTGAGTAGTAATTGGTGAGTAGTAATTGGTGAGTAAGTGGTGAGTGGTAAGTGGTGAGTAGTAATTGGTGAGTGGTAAGTGGTGAGTAGTAATTGGTGAGTAGTAATTGGTGAGTGGTAAGTGGTGAGTAGTAATTGGTGAGTAATTGGTGAGTAGTAATTGGTGAGTGGTGAGTAGTGAGTAATTGGTGAGTAGTAATTGGTGAGTAGTAATTGGTGAGTGGTGAGTGGTGAGTAGTGAGTAATTGGTGAGTAGTAATTGGTGAGTAGTAATTGGTGAGTGGTGAGTGAGTGGTGAGTAGTAATTGGTGAGTGGTGAGTAGTAATTGGTGAGTAGTAATTGGTGAGTGGTGAGTGAGTGGTGAGTAGTAATTGGTGAGTGGTGAGTAGTAATTGGTGAGTAATTAGTAATTGGTGAGTGGTGAGTAGTAATTGGTGAGTAATTAGTAATTGGTGAGTAGTAATTGGTGAGTAATTAGTAATTGGTGAGTGGTGAGCGCTCCTCACTATCCATGCCGGGGAATGGAAGCGGCTGTGCCCCCAGCTGTTGCTCGACCGCCAACTCGATGTCGAATCGAATGTGGTCGATCGGAGCCACCAACTCCTGCATGTTGACGACGATCTTGACGAGGTAGACGATGAATCACAACAACGACGACGTCGTCTCGGCCGCAGCAGCTGTTGTTTTTGTGGTGAGGTTTTTTTTATTTTAAAACGAAAAATGTTTCAAACGCAAAAGCCTCCACTAGGCCGCAAAACGCTGAGCTGCTGTGTGGGTGGGTGGGTGGGTGAGTGGGTCGGCGGTTTAGTGTCGCGGCTCCCCATTGGTCGTCAACCCACCAACCGGGAGGGGGGGGTGGTGACGTCGCGGTCGAAGCAACCTCGGCGCTGATTGGTCGGGGCGATTTATTGTTGGGGCGGTGGTTTTTTTTGGCGGTTTGGTGGACGGGTGGAGGGTGCGGGGGAGGGGGGGCGGCCATGTTGGGTAGGGTGTTGGGGTGGAAGGTGGCCATGCTGGCGCGGGGGGTGGAGGGCGGCCATGTTGGGTAGGGGATGGTGCGGGGGTGGAGGGCGGCCATGCTGGGCAAGGGGTATGGCGAGTGTATAGTGTAGTAGTGTACAGTGTAGTAGTGTATAATGTAGTAGTGTACAGTGTGTAGTGTATAGTAGTGTATAGTGTAGTAGTGTATAGTGTAGTGTATAGTGTAGTGTATAGTGTAGTAGTGTATAGTGTAGTGTATAGTGTAGTAGTGTATAGTGTAGTAGTGTATAGTGTAGTAGTGTATAGTGTAGTAGTGTAGTGTATAGTGTAGTGTATGTTAGTGTATAGTGTAGTAGTGTATAGTGTAGTAGTCTATAGTATAGTGTAGTAGTGTATAGTGTAGTGTAGTAGTGTATAGTATAGTGTAGTAGTGTAGTGTATAGTGTAGTAGTGTATGTTAGTGTATAGTGTAGTGTAGTAGTGTATAGTGTAGTATATAGTGTAGTAGTGTAGTGTAGTAGTGTATAATATAGTGTAGTAGTGTATAGTGTAGTAGTGTATAGTATAGTGTAGTAGTGTATAGTGTAGTGTAGTAGTGTATAGTGTAGTGTATAGTGTAGTATAAACCGTGACGTCTCGACAGCCGTGGTAAGCAGACCAACCTCCCAAACGCAACTGTGTAGGCTTCACCACACAGAGCTCAGTAAGCCCCGACCTGCGTGTTCACATTCACGTGTTCACATTGACGCTTGCTAACCCCCACCACATCATCAACATCAACAACACGATCGTAAGGATGATGATGATGATAACATTGGTGATGGATTTACGTATTTATTTGAAAAGGCATCGACTTGCAGAAACAACAACAATAGCGATAGCAACATTGGTGGTGAGCGTTGCGTTGGAATCTCAATGCGGCATCACCTGAAGCAGTCCGTGGGTGAGTGGATGAGTGAATGGGTGGATGAGTGAATGGGTGGGTGAGTGGGTGAGTGAGTGGGTTGGTGAGTGGGTTGGTGAGTGGGTGGGTGAGTGAGTGGGTGAGTGGTTGGGTGAGTGGGTGGGTGAGTGGGTGGGTTGGTGAGTGGGTGGATGGGGGGGTGAGTTGGTGGGTGAGTAGGTGGGTGGGTGAGTGGATGAGTGGGTGGCTGAGCGAGTGAGCGCTTTGCAAAAAACAACATAAGATAATCATCATAAGCATCAGCAGTATCATCAGCAGCAGAACACTGTGACACACAGGGAGCCTACAGCCACTAGACGGACGGGCAACTCTGTCGTGGACAGTGCTGTGGGGGGGAAGTCCAATTTTGATTGGCTCCTCCCCTCATGGCGTCTGTGACCACCACAGGAGCTAAACGGGGGCTCTGGACAGGTGCGAGGGGCTGGTAACCCCTCCACCTTCAATTAATTACCACGAAACCACGAGTTAAACTGAAATATGTAACTAATAAGCTTGTGCCGGAGGCCCCGGGGGGGCAGGAGTCTATGACGTCTCCTGGCCAAACCCAAAATTGGCGGAGCCAGGAGATTGAATCTCTACCCTCGGGGCTCCTCCAGAAACAACGAAAAGCCTCTACGGGTAGCCACGTGGAATGTTCGAACGCTCACTGCGGAGGAGAGGCTGCCACTCCTCTGTCAGGAGCTGGACCGGTACCGCCTGGATTTATGTGGCATTCAGGAGGTCCGGTGGACCGGTTCTGGCTCCTGCCACCATGAGGGGTGGACAGTCCTCTACTCGGGGCAGGAGACTGCCAAGCAACAGGGTGTGGCTCTTCTTTTGAACAAAAGAATGAAGGGGGCGTGGTAGCGTGGCGGTGAGGTGTGGGAAGCTGTAAGCCCCAGGCTACTTTGGGCTCGCCTTCCCATCAACTGGAGGCGAGGAATGGTGGTCGTGGTTACTTATGCCCCCACCGAAGATGAACATCCGTGGAGGGATGCAGGCAAAGCCGATGAGTCAGATGCCTTCTATGACCTCCTGTCACAGGTGCTGGCTGAAGTGGCCCCTCGGGATAGAGTCATCTTGTTGGGTGGCCAGATCAGCTCAATAACGGTAGGAGGCTGCTAGATTTTTGTGCAGCCCATGGGCTTGTATTTACCAACACGCTGTTTCGGCATCGGCGCATCCACACATCATGGATGCATGCCGGGTCCAAGCAAGAACATCTGCTGCACTACACTGTGACGGACCAGCGGATGCAAGCCTATGTCCTTGACACCAGGACCTACCGTGGAGCTGATCTGCCCTCTGACCATCGACAAGTCATCTGTAAGATGCGCCTGCCATTCTTCCACTCCGGTGGTGGGTGTACACCCAGGACCCCATTGCAACCTAAAGTGGCCTGGTCTCAGTTATCTGATGAAAGTTGCGAGAATTTCATCATCGCTTGCGGCTGGGATTGGCATCGTCCCCCACTCCTCCTGATGTCGAGGGTAAATGAGCGAGGTTTAGGACTGTGACTCATGCAGCTGCAATGGCTGCTTTGGGTACGTGGTCCAGACCTCCCCAGAGACCCTGGCTGACAGAGGTGTTCAGGATGGTTGAGAAAAAGCGACAGGCCCACTGTCATCGGCTACAGAATCCTACGTCAGAGAATGAGGAGGCTTACCGCAGCCTTCGCTCGGAGGTTCGGAGAGCCGTGAGGCGCTGCAAGGATGGGTGGTGGTCGCGGGTTTCTGAGGAGATGGAGTCTATTTAACTCCATCAAAAAAGTAACCTGCAGCGCCACACCTATTACCATCATTAGGGGAAAAAACGGTGATCCAATCTCCGACCCCCAGGAACAGGTTTGCAGGTTTACTGAGCATTTGTGTGAGGTCCTGTGAGAGGGAAAATCCCTCAGCCAGGAAAACACTGTGGCACAAAGTGAAGATGACCCTGCTGAGGCTGCGGTGCCTCAAATATTGGAAGGAGTCACCCCCTGTGAGTGGCTGGCTGAGGTGCCATCTGTTGAGGAAGTACTGAAGGCGATCCGGAGTCTGAGACCAGGAAAGGCAGCGGGTAGAGATGATCTCCCAAGCGAAATGCTGAGGGAGGGTGGCGTTTGTGCACAGACTGCCCTAAATTACATAATAACAACAGTCTGGACCACTGGACGGGTTCCGCAGGATTGGAAGGATGCCCTGGTGGTCCCCCTTTTTAAGAAGCGGTCCCCCTTTTTAAGAAGGGGGACCGCACAGACTGTAACAACTACAGGGGCATCTCACTCCTCATTGTGCCGGGAAAGGTCCTGGCAAAGATGATTCAACATCGCCTTGCCAGGCACGCCGAGGAGAGGCTTGCGGAGCCCCAATGCGGTTTCAGGAAAGGGCGGTCCTGCACAGATGCCATATTTTCTGCCCGTCTGCTACAGCAGAGGTGTAGGGAATTCCAAAAATACCTACATCTCTGCTTTATTGACCTGGTCAAGGCCTATGATACCATCAGTAGGCCTGGGCTCTGGGTTGTTCTTCGTGCTTTTGGAGTACCTGACCCTCTCCTTCCGATCATTAAGGACCTTCATGATGGTGAGCGGGCCTGGGTAAAACTACGTGGCCGGGAGTCAGAGCCATTCCCTGTACACCTTGGGGTGCGACAGGGATGTCCTCTGGCTCCCACATTATTTAACATCTATTTTGACCACGTAGTTCGTGAAGCCTTCAATAGCTGTACCGGGGGAATCTCCATAAGGTACAGATATAATGGGAGACTGATCGATGCCCGGGTGCGGTCAAGGGATGGCTCCCTATTGCTCAATCACGTTATGTATGCCGATGATTTGGTAATAGCTGCTCATTCAGAGGAGGAGTTGGAGACGCTGCTGCTGAGACTGGAGCGTGCCACTAAGAGGTGGGGCCTTACCATCAGCCCCACCTAAACTAAGCACCTGCCTGGGTATTTTGTACCATCGGAAACTCTACCCCCACAACTCCCCATCGGTGATGGCGCAGTTGTGGAGAGAGTGGAGAGTTTCCCATACCTGGGCAGTGTGCTTATGACCGGCTCCAGTTTAACAGCAGAGGTCTCACTCCGAATCAGTCGAGTGGCAATATCTTTTCATCGGTTGCGTAACGCTGTGTGGAAGCTACCTGGTCTGTCGCTCCGCACTAAGCTTCAGGTCTTCTCGGCCACGGTCATTCCCTCCCTTCTCTACGCTTGCGAAACGTGGACCCCCCTAATGGAACATCTTCGCCGATTAGAAACATTTAGGCTGGCCTGCCTACGATCCATCCTGGGTTTAACCAGACTGGATTGTGTGAGGCGCTCACAAATCCTTAAAAGATCTGGGCAAGGTCCCATCGGTGAGCTCCTCCGGCGGGCAAGGCTGCGTTGGCTGGGTCATGTAGCCAGCATGCCCAACCACCGCATGCCGAAACAGCTTTTGTTCGGCCGGATCGAGGGGGCTAAACGGGCGCGGCACGGGATAGAGAAGAGATGGAGTGATGTGGTATGGGAGGACGTGGAGCTGAGTGGATTTGCCGATGACTGGTACCAGCGGTGTCAAGATCGGCCTCTGTGGAGGAGGCTCGTGAAGGACGCTACTGGGCAGTTGGAGGCAGTCGACCTCCAACAATAACGGAGGGCGGAGGAGCGACGTTCACAACAACGAGCGGAGCGCCGGGTGGCTAAAGCACAGCAGGTTGGCACAGTAGGGCGCACAGGTGGTGCATCAGCCAGTCATCTCAGTCAGTCGACCCGTGGCACCTGCTGGGTCTGCCCCGTGACCTCCTACCAGCGGGCGTTCGACACTTCACGTGGCCTCAGGGTGCACATAGCCTGGCACAAGCGTCGTGGTGACGTCACCGCCACTCAGTGGCAAA